CCGTTGGCCCTTTAGATGAATCATCAGGACATATCCACATGGAATATCCACTAGAGGAATATAAAACTATGTAGGAAAAGTTTCAAGGTTACAGATTCTTCAAAGGGTGCATTACTGGGGAAGAAAAAGTTAAAGCTAATATGGGATGATAGGGAATTTTATATTAATAACATATATGCCAGTTTGTTTTGGACAAAGCTAAAACTAATTTGATCTGTTTCTGTGATAAATTCTATGAAGATTATTATGTTTTCCATAAAACCCAATATAGTTCAATAGCAATACAAGAAACAACAACCTCCAAAATGTGCATTAAGGTAAATCAACCCCCCCTCTAAACTTACTCAATAACAACATTACAACTTTCATGGAGGGAGGATTGGTTAAAGGGATTGTTGTGTTAGAGTGAATCAGTTCTTCTGAGCTGCACCCAATAAATTGGCTGAGCACATAAGCAATAGGATATTATCAATAGATGTGTGTGATAACAAGAGGGAAATTAATCTTAGATATTGTGCCCATAACAGTTATGTAACTGATTGAATAAACATTTCCTCTAATCATTCTCTTTGCCACAACGTGTTCACAGGTAAAGTTGTTGGGTCGGCTAACACAGAAGAAATGGCTGTATTCATGAGGAAAATGGGAGTTAATATTAGACCATGAATTACAGGAATATGCCGGAGGCACTTTTTTATTGCCACATGACTTCTAAAGTGCCTTTAAATGTTCTCTTAACAGGTAAACTTCCTTATTACTGATACACCACAGTGATTTATGCACACATTGAAAGGCAGAGTTATGACTTGAAATCTGACCTTGGATGTATTGCAGGCTGAGAAAAATACTCCAGCACTTGCTTTTATGTGCAAATTGAAAGGAGGCAATCAATTTCACAATGCTTATCAGATTCAGAACACAGTAGTTCAACGTTGTTGCGATTTTCTACAAGAACAATGCTGACTGAGTCATGCTCACAAAGAACATTTTCCACATGGAATGTAATATACAGCTGGGTTTTTTAACCCTCTGCTTTTCTTTTACTTCTCTGTCTTAATCAGACTGCAGCAGGTCATTATGGTGACATTGATCCTGAGATTTCTGATGCATGGTTGAAGAAGTTCTTAGATCGTAAAGTAACAGGCTATTACATAATAATTTGTATGTCGATTAGATTAAGTGTTATTGATCTGAATCTGCAAAGTTACTAAAGTTAAAGTAACTAAAAGATAATTATAGTGGAGTCAAATAATAAAGTAGAAAATACAAATGCTTAGCAGTAAAATAATAAGTCAAGTATGTCAAAGTGTACATTATCACAGTGCTTAAGTGAATCCACAATTAGGAGCACAGATTGATATGGAGTTATTTTGAGTTCTTGAGTCTTGTTTCGTGCTACACTGCAGTTGTCTTACTGCAGATAGAGATCCTCAGGCCCTGCTGACACTTCCATAGTCTGAATTTGAGAATAAGGTGAATAAATTCAGAGTGCAGTGCTCCCCTGAGATCTGTTGAGCCTACATGTTGAATCTTTGGCAGCAGCTGCATATGTTCCAATTTCTACAGAACAAGGTAATTTGCACAACGTCCAAAGGGCTCAAAATATGCAGATAAAATCCCAATACAGAATTCCTCAACCCTGCTGTTCACTGCAACATGAAAAAGTGATTAAAAGCAAAAGTGCAGATACCAGCAGTCCGAATACCGAATACTACATCCTAGAGAGCTGAATAGTTGATGCACATCTCAGGCTTACACTCCGGTCAGCATATACCTATCTGTCAATCACAAATACAATTAAATATTTCCAGTCACTTATTATTATGTATGCTTTGTTATAGAAAAACCTATTAAACATATCACAATTGTTAAACTAAAATCTTTATAGTGATAGATAAATAAATCTCATTAAGTTTTAAATGATAAAGGCAAAGGTCAGTCAATAACTCTAGGTGTAGGGTTAAAGGCTGGCAAGTCAAGTCCCACAGCCTGGACTCAACACTGATACGCCTGACTGTGGCCTGCTGTGTAAAAGGCACCTTTACTCTTTTTTGAATTGTTCAATTTGATAATTATCCATAATATTTACATATATTTTTTTATTGAAAAATGTAAGACATTTTTTCGAATAATTTTTTTAAGAAATCTGCTAAAAAGTGTGTTATTAAAGAAACTAGAATATATTTTGGTCCGTTTCAAATCAGTTAAAAGTAAATTATTAAGCATAATAGTTTATACTGGTCTCACTAATAACTGATATGACGCAGTAAGGGACATCTAGGTTAATCATTGATTTATCCACCCATATGGGTTTTAAAATGTGTTCAACAGGGTCTAAAATCCAACTCAGCCTTAGCTCTGGCTTCAGATTTCAAGCCTGTGTCCAGCTTAACACCAGGAAACGGTATTTGACGAGGGACAGTTCCTTTCCGCTTTCTCTACATCTGCAGGAGGGGTAGAATCTATTTTATCAGGAGATATTTTTGTAGTGTGTTATTTTTATAGTTATATTAAACTGAAGTACAAAATATAGCCTTATTATTAATACTAACAGTATTTAAAAAACATATTGGCTAACATATTCACCATTTCATTGACGTGATCACCTCAAGCTATTTTTGGTATATTACGGTACTCAAAGTTGCATTAATAGTGGATTACAGAGCTGTTTGGATAACTTGGGTAATAGAAAGGCCATTATATCTCCTCATCTTATCACAGCAAATCAAGGACATATTCTTGTGAGGTCCGAAGACCACAGGTAATAAAGCTGATGGTTGATAACCAGCAAAGCTAAGGTTCACTATTCAGTTGACTCATTGGTCATGTAAGTAAGATTCTGCTTTGCATTAATATCCTAATAATTCTGAGTCTCTATACGAAGGAAGTTAACAAAATATGAATATTTCTTATCGTTTATATTGTTCCTGATATATATTCGATGCTGGCAGAGGAATATTACTCTAAATAAGCATGATATTACTGTAGGCCCTTTTTAAAATGTGACTCACAATTATGATGGGATGAGGTTCTCTATCTTTATATAAATCAAGTTCCGCAAACATACACACTGAAAGCAAAGCAGACACATCTGTTAATATTTGATAGATTTATAACCCCTTTTTACAAGTTGGTTTGTTCTTCGTCTAAGATTAGTGAGATTCCAGGCACAGGAGGAAAATGGCAGCGTTTTTTTCCACTAAAATAGATTTCAGATAAGTATGTCATATAGGTGACAAAGACAATGGTGCAATAGTGATTGCATTCCTGACAAATGACGTGTCGAGAAAGGAGTGGATGATGTCCTGGCTTCTGGGTGTGAACTGGCCACATCGATGATGGATAACAAATGCCAGAGTTTAAAAGCAGAGAAGATTAAAAAAGTTTCACATTTCCATCAAGAGGAATTGTGAGCCTCTACTCTGCCTCTGACCTACATTTTAATGTAGATACGAACATTACTTCCTTGTTAAACGTGATCCACAGATTTAAAAAAGCAAACATTTGACAAAAAACATTTCAAAGTGAAGAAATTCTATTTATTTTACATCATTGAATCAAATCTATATCATGGAGAATTATCTACCACCATCTGTGCAAGCACCAGGTCAGGAGATGAACTATCTGTCGTCATGATATGCCATACACACGCTCTGGGACACACACATATACACACACAGTTGCTGTTATGTTTCTAGATGAAGGCACATAAACCCATTGAAGGTCACAGTAAGGCAGATTCACAGCACTAAGGAGAAACCGTATACCGTAGAAATTAGCAAAGGAACATTCTAGACTTCGACAAGTCTGCCGTATTACAGGATCTCTGTTTAGGACTTTCCTGTCTTCCTCTGTCTGGCAGCAAGAGAGCAGGTGAGAAATGGTGAAGATGGCTGAGAAAAGGGTGTTCACGTCCAGGGCTGACAGACATCCCAGCCCATTTTTCCATTTGACATTTTCTTCTGCAGACACGTAGTGAGAGTTTATCCTTGTCATTAGAAAACTAGCAGCGAAGAGCTAGAGAGTCCTTTAAGTTTACAATCCTCTTTCCCCTTTAACAGTTCTTTGGCTTGATCACATCAGCCAACAATTCGCTTAACAATCTGAATAATTGAGAGTCCATTAATCAACATAATACAGACATACTGTCTAAACAGTTTCTTTCACTCAGACATGTAATCGTGGCAACATACGGTATACCATCACTCAAATACAACAGCAGTCCAAACTCTGAGAGTTGGTTTTGCATCATTTAGAAACAGTAACACCATAATGTAAATCACAGTTTGTTCAGTTGCATTTCATTGCATGTGTCCGTGGAACGGACCATCCCGTACACACACACACTAAGCAGCAGCAGCATTCCTTTGGATCACCAACAGATTGGATTTGATTAGTCCACAAAACACAAGCTTGACACAATACCCTGTATCCAACCATTCACATTCCTGTGCAGAACAGCTATGCATGCAGAGGTGCAACCGCTCTGTTTCCCACTGTGAGTTCACATAAGGATTCTTGTCCCTGAGTCTTCAAAATACATCTGAATAATCCCACTGCACCCTAATTCCCCACACTGTTCTAAAGCATTCACCTCTTATCCTCTACAGACATTCAACTTGTAAGTATGGGTTAAAGGGAGCTTCAGCCGTTTCTGTGTAAATCGATGAGCTGAAATGCAGACCCCCTGGCAGAAGGGCGATGAAAATGACACAGCATCTGCATCACACTCGCTCAGACACGCAAACCAGACATGTAATCACATACATTAGAGAGGATCCACACTGGCCCTGAACCAAAAGTGCACACACATACAAAAAATACACAGCTTCAGTCTCTTAGTTTGGTCCATCACAGAGAGAGGTGTGTCAGGTGCAGTGATTGTGCAGGGCTGTGGCTTGTGTGTGTTTGAATATGTGCAAGTGTATTGGCGTCCATATGTGTACATGTCTGTGTTTCTAAGCATTTTAGTTTAATCTATGGATGTGTGTTTCCCTGTGTTAAGTGAGAGCGTACTCAAATGTCCCTTTCTCCAGCCCCTCAATGCCATCAGCCCAGTTGGAAGAGGGCATACTGCTGTAAGGGTCCAGCAGGATCCTGAAGCACCTTACTATGAGCAGCCCCAGGAACACCAGCAGCATCCCCACGAAGGCAAACGCTGTCTTCTGCTCCAGAGTCAGGGAGTGCGCCATCATGTCGTTTCCGCTCATGGTAGCAAGGGAGTGGTTGTAGTGGACACTACACATGGTAAACCAACATCTAGTTGCCTCATCTCACCTCTGAAGGTGTCAGGCGTTTAGAAGCCTGCATGTTACCTGGACAGGGATTACATGATGGCTTCAGATTAGTGCTGTCTATTGGGCAGAGAGAATCCATTGAAGAACCTATTTGAATATTATACCGCTTAATGCATAATATGTGTAAGCTTTGGGGGAATAACAGATATCGGAAAGAGAAAATACAGAAAATACACAATTCAATGAGCTGACCATGAAACGTGAAGGGTTACAGGTATCTAAAAATAGCTTCTTTTTAATGTGCTATCAAACTGCTGCCTGCCTGCAGACTTCGATCTCTCTCTCACTCTGCGCCTCTGGGAATTTTGCAGAAAATGACAAAAAGCAAACATGAACAGAAGAGTCAAAGAGACTGCAGGAAAATGGGTTCAATAACAAGAGCCAATACCAGGGATTCTTTCCATTAAGTCAGGATAGAATTACAGTTTGTCGCAGTGCATATCCAGCTGTTTAACATAGGCAAAGCGCTGAAGTATCAATGAAAACGTAAAATCTCATGATGATGTGATGTATGTTTGGTTTAGAAGAGAGGGCTCTCTACCTGTTGCGTGCGAGCAGATGCCTGCCAGACGGCATGATTCCATTAAACAAGAAAGCGACGGTGATTGACAAAACTAATTCACAATATTGGTGTAGCCACTCAAGTGGAAGTCTGCTTCTGTCATCATTTTTCATCCCTAATCTTTCCTATGAACACAAGCAGCAAGTGGCTTTAGTTTAGAGCAAGGGAGGGGGCTTGAGTGAGAGAGTGAGGGTACATACAGACAGAACTGGGATAGACAGGCAAGGGAGAAGGAAGTAGAATGAGGGGAACACTGCACAAGTATGCATGGTGAGGGAGTCAGGGAGGAGAGAGGAAGGGAGGGAGGTAGGGTGAAAGACAGAGACTGCATTGACAGATAGTAAGGATGTCTGAGGAAGAAAAAGCAGCCATCTCACCGTCATTATCGTTCCATCCTCACAGACCTGTTGCTGCTGTTTCTTGCGAACAACTCCTCTTTCGTGCAGCCCTGAGACACATATCCATTAAACCATCCATCGCTGACATACTGGATGTTTTAGGGTGACCTCTCATCCAAACAAAAAGCTAAAGAAACGGAGAAGCAAGGGGAGAGGCTGGATCAAGCTATGATATGTGTCTCTTCTTAGAGATAGAGCTCCTCTCCTCATGCTCCTTTTCTTGCTGCCTCCTACTCATTATCATTCTGTTTCTCTATGTCTCCCTCCTGAAGCACGCACGTTGCTCCTGCTGCATGGCAACCACTTGTTAGTCTCACTTCTGTCATTCACAACATACCCCTCCTCAGCAACACCAGGACGGATGCAGCAAACAAGTAATCCACCTCTTCTTTTTTTCTCTCTTCATTCTCCCCTCCCCTGGCTTATTGGCTTATTTGGCATTTCTAAAAATGACAATATGATGCTGCCTCTCACTGATCCTGGTCAGTAAATGCTGCTGCAAAGGTATTTTAGGTGCAACACAGCATTATTCTTTAAGCCCGGTTTGATGTTGTGTTTTTAATTGATGCAGTGTGCTGTGGTCAAATTGAATTAGCCCCTCTGCTTAAAGGCTTACGAAGGCAAGCTCCCTGGACAGGATGAGAGAAAAGAGACTTACTTTAGTAAACAAAAGGCAGTATTTTAAAACAGACAGCAGGTCATCTGATTGCCCACTGTAACACAATGCAGCAGTGAAGGGTCTGGCCATCTGTTTCGATGTAGTGCAAATTCACATCAGCCATGTCGGTTTAATCACAGTGGTGCAGTGACTCTGATTCAAGGATAAGGCAAGCCATGAGGGAGAGGGTCATCACTGGTGTGTGATGTGAAGCAATTTCTAATGGATGAAAAGAAGCTTATTTCACTTATTGTTTAGTTTTTTTTACGTCAATAGCAGAAACATTCCCTGGGAGTTTGAAAGAGAGGAGAAAGGTCTTATTCACATTTATATTCGCTTAAAAGTTATATTTTCCTTGTTTCTTGTAGCCCTGCTGTGCTGTTAATATTTGAATGTATTTGGGTATAAATAGTTAGTTTGGCTGTACTGTGACTTGTCGACGAAGCCAGCTACTTCATTTATATCTCCCATTTACTTCAAGGACAGTTGTTGCTAAATAGATGAAGAGATGTCACACTGCAAAGACCATGACATTGTAAGACATTATACCTCATTGCCCTCATCAATTGTAAAGACAAGGTCACAGCCCAATAGTGTTTGGTTATCAGTGATAAGATGGTCAATTTACAGACACTTTTAATGAGTATGTTATTATTAGCAATCCAAAACAGTGAATTTGCTGTCAGAGATGATTGAATATGTCCATTCATTTGAAATTATACAGAAGTTCAACGACTTACAATAGTATTTCCTTCTTAATTGTCTTTAAAATGACTGTAAGCACTCTTTTATATGTGTGCCAAGAGCAGATGTGCTTTGGACTCTCTTGGCACTGGAAGATGAATGTAGGCCATTTAAACCTGTTGCATAAAGCGTATTAAAATACTTGAGTGTCCATAGGACAAACGGATAAAGCTTGTTACTCTTTTATCTAAGCCAGACAACAGGTCAGGAGCAAACTGATATTGAGAACTGTAAAACGAGGATTATATGAACTGCTCTAGCGGTATCCTCTCAAATGTAATTGAACTCTACTCCCCACCCCTGAGTGATATACAATCTGTACAAGAGAGTACTAAGTTAGCTTTGAAAGATTTTAATATTTATAATACTTTATTGGGCCTCCCCATTAGCCTTACTGCTGCAATTTGTATCATCCTGTAGCCGACAACTTAACTAAATGCACGTGGAGGTCTTACTTTTTAGAATAAATATAAATATTTGCAATATTGTAATTAAAGACAGATTTCCAAAGTGATTAGAAATGTGGCAGGAGTCGACAGTAAAGCCATTAAATATGACGATAAAAATGTTCTGAGCAAAATCTCAGAAAGCACCAATGTGTTTTAGTAGCATCTAGTGGTGAGGTTGCAGATAGCAACTAGCTGAATACCACTCCACTTCTCCTACCTTTGGAAGCCTGTTGAAGAATCACAAAGGACCTCAGGTAATATAATAATGCCCTCTCAAGAGCAATTATTTAGTTTCACTGTTCTGGGTTACTTTCAAAAGAGCAACATTGTGGACTCTGATAAATACTTCTCTCTTCCTGTATTAATATGAAGGGCCCCCTCATAGCTATAGAAAACACAAGAATGTTTATGTTCATGTGAAATCATAGTGAATATTATATTCCATTACTGCCAAAAGTCAATGTAGGTGCAAAGAAGGACATGTTGCAAACTCAATTACAACCATGGATCATGCTGACCCGTAACAAAGCAGGGAAGTTAATATGTAACATACAGTTCAGTACACGTATTACTCGATAAATGTAAGAGGTCAATAAACTGATAATACATTTACTTGATTGTTATTTTTTTCTCAGATAGATCTTGAGACTTTCCTGCTACATTAAGAGCTATAGGTACCTATTGAAAAAAAATAAAGAAATAAGGTCAACAAGTTCTCTAAAAAAATAAAAGGTTTTCTATACAACAGTACATCAGATTTATTAAAAGATCAGGTGTTTCATTGAAATGGTTGGTTTTGGTATTGGAATCTGCACACATTTGGTGAGCAAATTCTCTACAAATGTTGAAGCATATTGTATAAAGAAAATTATGTTATTCCTCTTGGATAATGTTGCACTATATCATAAGCATAACAACATTTGCAGAGTAATCAGGAATTTACAGGGTCAGTTGAAACTTAACATGTCTACTCTTTAAATGTGCATGGATCTGACTGCTTTGATGGTTGCACATACATGTCTATGGCTTTCTGATGGCTGGGTAGTGTTTAGTAAAAAGATATATAGGCTATTTGAGAACACAAGATCTTTTAAAATGTTTCCTTAATATCTCATAAGAGGATGTTCAGCTGTGGTACATTGTATCCCTCATATGCTGCTTTGCAATCACGTGCAAAATCTTTTCAATCAAATATTCCCTTTTTATTTTTGCCAAATTACACGGACTCCAGTGTTTTTTTCTTCCATTCAGCCTTTATACATCCATGCATTCACCTAGGCTGCCGGGCAACAGCTCCCAATTCTCGCGTTGCAGGCACGAATCTCACTCCACATTTTAAACTGCGTAGCGACAGCGGGGCATCTTGCGTTGTCTGGGGCAAACCTCAACATGGAAGATGTTGTAATTATTGACGAGGAGCCAAGGCAAGAGGACTCTTCTGTATCCGTCAAGTCCGAATCTGAAGAGGCATCTGAAGAAACACCCAATGGTGTGAAAACGTGAGTGAACATTATGTATTATTCTGTCCGCCCTGCTAGTGCAACCGTTAGCTGGATTAGCTAAAATGGAGTCCTGTTTGCTAACTTGCTATTGTTAGCGAACGAGCCTCTTTGAACATCTGTTGTCAATTGTAATCTATATGTATCTGTGTGATATATGGTGGGTTTGTAGCTCATATGACGCGATATATAATTTCTAACTCATGAATCAAAATGGCATGCTGTTGCTATAACGTTAACCATGGTGCAATGGGCCAACCTTTAACGTTGCTGGATGCTAATCTGATTCTGCAGGAATATATGGAGGTGACTCTTGTCAATTTAGTTTACACCTCCAACTAGATGGATATCAAATACCCTATAGCCTTTTCCCCCCAAATGACATTAACAGCTGGCCAAAGCATTTCTGTTAATGTCTATTCAAACACGTTTCATTATGTAAAACTAACTGGGGTTAAGTTAGCTAAACCCTAAGCTAGTGCAAATCAATGTACAGTCTATGGTGCAAACGAACAACGCTAGCAAGCTAAACGTTGTGTTGTTTTTCTATTCACACTTTATCTGATGGTTATTTTTCCATTAGATACAATGTGTTAATTTAAGAAATAGGAGGCAATATAAAGTGCGTATTTCACCATGAGTACTATGTTTACTTTTGTAACAATACATGTTTTTTCCCCAGCAGTATCATCATTTATATCATACAAATAAGTGTTGAAATTCATGTAACATTACTCAGCTCAGTGACTACACATTTTTTCAAAGGCAAATTCTAAGCAAAAATAATCTCCCCTTTTTATTCATAGTGAAGGTGTCTGAGCACTTTTCCATTCATGGTTCTGTATACAAATTGTATTTAGATTGTTTTATGCTACCTAATTACCTTTTATGAACATGTGTCCTCAAGGTAAGTAGTGTCACATTGAAATGTTAAGTATGTTTGTATGACAGGTCTTTCAAAGTACAGACTACACTGTGTGATCTCTGAATGTGGATTTTGAGAAAGACTGTTCTCTGACTTTTAACATTATGCATTTTGTAGGAATGCTGAAGAAACTAAGTCTCCCAAAGAAAAGCATGATGGTAAAGAGAAGTCCTCTGGGAGTAGAAGAGGAAACCGCTTCCATCCCTACAAAGACAAACATGGTGGAGAAAAGAAGGGGGCTCATAGGAATCGGGTGTTCATCAGCAATATCCCTTATGATATGAAGTGGCAGGCAATTAAAGATCTAATGCGTGAGAAAGGTAATGTCTCCAGTTATGGGGATAATGTCTCATCTTCTTTCCACTTTTCAGGTTTTCAGAAGCTTTTGACCTCTTTCCCTCCATTACCAGATGTTGCATCCTGCTTCTAGCAGTAGTCAGTTAGTGTGTAGCTTTTTTTGGATGTATTTATCGCATATATAAGGGAACCAACATAGTTTGACACAAGGTATTGGAGTTTTAATAAATGTATTTGGATGGACACCAATTTAGTTTGGATTGATATGTCTTTGAGAAATGGAAGATGAAATTAGTTACATTGTCACTTGTTCTATGGCATTGTCAGCTCCAAAATGTAACCTCAAACCACCAGTAGTAGAATTGAGTGTTGAATGATTTTGTTGCATCTGTTGCAAGGTGAATCTTGATTATAAATGAAAATATTGTAATGTTTTACATTTTTGAATTATGGGGCCTCAATAAGCCTTTTGAAAGGTCAAAGGATAGTTTAAAACTCTTAATGCCATGAATGGAATCTGTTGATGAAACTGATCATGTTGAAGCTCTTTGAATTTCCCAGGTTTAATGTAGCTGTGTTTCTCTCTGGCCTTGGCCTTATGGTGTCTCAGTCACTGCCCAGAAAGGCATGGTGTTGTCTGGTGGGATGTTGGTC